CAACCTGCATGTTAACCTGGCCCATACATGCGTTGCACTATATCTTCATGTCTTCTAAATTTAGAAATCATTTGAATCACCTTTAACATTTATCGATAAACCCATCATAGTCGTTGTTGCTAATCGTATTTGGGTTTATGGATTGGTTTATCATATTAGCAGCCTAAAATGCGAACATAGTTTAGATAATAAGATTAAAAATTTAGGTACTATCAACTGCACTAGTAAAATAACTAAATCCCTAGGTAGCTGTTGGCTAAACAAACGTTTAAAATCAAAACTCCGTAGCCTACTAGAATTAACACTAAACGAATATTTCTGAATTGAAATTTATAATTAAATTAGGCGTCTCGGATTCTTTAACGTTATAAATTTCTGATGATTTCGAATCACCTAAAGCAACAATACCTATTTTTCCACTGACTAATCCTCATTCAACACTATAACTAGTTAAACATAATAGTTTCAGGATATCGTCATAAAGCATTGTCATGACTTGACAATCACGTAATATGATTGATAAAATTAATGAAACTATTAACAAAATCGGTCAACAAATTGACTTATAATTATCACTAGTGTTGTTTTTCTTTTATCTTCATTCACTACAGATGATTACAGTATGTTTCTCTATCAGTTGCTCATTCAGTAAATATCTCAAAACCTTGTCAGTCTAATTGATGGTTTAGCGACACAATCATGCATGCAAATAATCAGTATAAGCAGTCGAGCAAATCTCCTGCAAACTGAAAACATCAATGTCGAATTTACCCCAACACTGACTAAGGTTCAAGCCATTATCATAGACATGAGTTGGGAGTGTACTCCCCTGGTTACAACTTATGTTCTCTCTGATAATCACATGAGCATCACTCACTATTAATCATCTTGTAAAAACTTATTTAGCTAAATACATCTTGCAGCACCACATCACTTCGTAATATGACACAGGCCTAACTGATTTTAATAACTTATAACCACTATATCTCAATTAAATCGTATTCCGCCTTATGATAAACTGCATACTTGCAACTAACTTGTATGCCCAATCAGCCAGCAAGTATAAATATAAATAAATAGTCTTCTGCAGATCAGAACATTGAGTCTAGAGCATGTCTCTTACGAATACACTCATGTTTAACGATTTGTTCCTAGCTATCTGTCCAAAATTCATATAATTATCACTCATGTATTTAAATTTTGTTTTGATAACCATTCATGTGTATTAGTAGTATTACTAAATTCTATCACGGTCAAGTAAAAATGAGGTTGAGAAAATCTCCCCGTAACTAAATAAACCGTATCAAACTAACTGGAACACTAGTTGGAATTCTTCTCCACGGTATACTTTTGTTCCTTCAGTTAGCCTACTAATACAGATGCAATTGGAATTCAACTCATATGGACAACTTACCGGCATAATCGTTATTTGATTTCATAATTTAAACCAAAACTAATACCAATATTAACATTTCTACAATATTCATTACTTTAATATTTCTAAACACAATATACTTACTACCTATACGTTAAGTTATTAACCAACGGCTATTAACACGCATCGTTTTATTATTATTATTATTGTAACCCCATTTTTTATAGCTCAAATAATCTTCACCCAAATTTTCATTTCAAGCATTTTAAGCATGAAGGCAGATATTTTAAAATTATTACATGTATTTCCCGACCAGATGCTGCCGCTTTCTTTTTGATTTATCTTTCAGCTTACCAATACCCGGAGGATTCTTATTATCCTTGGTAACCTCCGGCGCGCGACGATCCCATCCAATTTGGTATCGAACCAACATCACGTTGATTCTGGTGGGAGAGTAGTGTAGTGGCATTGGACAATAGCCACACAATCCACAAAGCTGTGAACACGAGACTACTCAGGAAATAGATATTCAATATTTAACGCGGAGAAATACCTAACGATGGAGAAGGCGCGAACAATGAATTGAATGGACTGGAGTTGATCGATGGCATGGCTCGGCCATGCAGGCGTGGTCCATCTCAATGTTACTTTATATCTTCTATTCATATTAAATATATTGTTCTTTCTCTAGCCTAACCTTGTTCTACATCATGTATTGGTAATTGATACGATACAGTGAGTTGGTGTAGTCGATGGTGTGACTTCCACGTAAGATCTTATAGATTAGGCAGTTATATCATGACAAATCTACAAATTTAGGATTAGGTCTATTATTAGAGCAGTACTAATATCATAGTAGACCATAGTTCTACAGAGTTGACCCCAAACAACCAAGTATATGCCAAAACAGTATTGTTCAAGTATTCATTCACTTCCTTGTTTTGTATAAGCGTTATATTCCCTATTATCTTATACTGAATGTTGAGAGCCTTTGTTTGTCTGAACAGATAATCCCACGCTCCACTGTGACTGCACTAAGATCAAAATAAAGACCTTTTCACTACTTGTCTGGTTTCTTCTATCAATAGCACGAGGGTCACCTATAGGCACGAAAGTTCCTTACTAGACACTATGTATTGAGTGGATGAGAGGATCGTGAAAATCACACGGAATTCATGTGACGGACTACATTGCACCTATTCACTACTTGTCTGGTTTCTTCTATCAATAGCACGAGGGTTACTTTAAGGCACGAAATACCATACTATAATATCTTTTCTTCCGACCACTACCTGTCTAATGTTTAATTTTCGAGTTACATTGCCAAACAACAAGGATAGTATTCTGGAAACTAACGCTGAGTTTAAGCTATACATTTTCTGAAAACAAGCACATTTTAGATGATTCGTACAGTAGTAGCCACATGTTTACCGGACTCATTGGATTTTTATTGGATCACCTAATCGACAAAGTCAATTGCATCACGCAAACCCAGGAACTGGCTTTCAATTCATGACAAATCTACAATTTCAGCATTAGGTCTACTGTCATAGTAATACTAATAGCGATTAAAAATTGTTATTGTTTAAAAATGAATTCGATCGTATAATCTATGAGGGAATTATCAGGCCATCAAGCAGCTCATAGCATCTACCCTAGATATGGTCCATAAAATAAAAGGTAGTGACTGGCGTATGCACGGCCTGACAGCTGTATTGAATAGTACGACTGTCTTTTCGGATGTCGAATTGGTAAAAGAATACCCTGTGACTGTGGAAGATATCAGTTTATTGGGACTATACTAATTTTTGTGCATGCCTTTCGGTCGAATAAATGGCGTTCAAACGACTCATTTACGACGTCTTCAGAGGTCTAAACTATGTGAACGCATATATCGATGACTACTTAGTCACAATTCCAGACAGAGAATTCCACACATACTATGTGAATATTATTTCCCAACGATTGTAAGGACATGAAACTACTGTAAACAATTAGAGATAGCAAATCGTAATCGACACACTGGACGTTTTTGAGCGTGAACTGACACTCAGGGTATTAGCCTTCTAGAAAACAAGGTGGCGGTCATTCTGTACCACCCAGAATGGGTCACAGTCAAGTACCTATGTACATCCAACATACTAGAAAGTTTCTACTGACAATACACACCGAGCTGCGCGTTTTCCATGAGTACCTCAACTGGACATCTCCATAGAAATGAAAAAAATAATCGAACTGGACGGCAACGTAAAGGAAGAATATTCCACAATGTAGAGAAATGTTACAAAGTCGACTATGCTTACACACTTAGATATAGATGCATCCATTAGTATGGCCGTATATGCATCCAAATCAACAGTCTGGAGAGTCTCACAAAAATTGCCAAAAATCACATGGCGACCCTGGACATTCTTCTCGAGACGATCACAGGACACTGAATCGATGTATTGCAAAATTATGGTCTAGATTGTTGTTAGTACACTTAACTATTCCACTAAAGTGTAGCAATCGTAGACTTGCCATGTTATGACCACATAATATGTCAGACTTTACATAGGGGTCATATCATTAGCTTAAATGACTAGTCCTACCGTGACATCAGTGGTTGCTGCTATGGTATTTTGAGGAATACATTTGGGGTGAGGAGAGAACAGTATATTTAATATATAAAGCAAGGGGTTATGTAAAATGATCATATCAGCATGGGTGAGCCATGTCATAGTGATCTTCAATCTTCTCTGATATTATTTGTTCAGCTTCAAAAACCGACGTATAACATTTTGGTAGGGTGCTCCGAGCTACATGCCGTGCTGTACGGCACTCTTAGAACTCTATGGTGGGGCAGAAATTCACTTTATACATCAACCATAAACCTCACATCTTTCCTTCTAACTCCTGTTAGGACAAGTGCTCACCTTGAGCGTCTTGACAACTACACTTCATTTTTCAGTTTAGTTCGTATATACAACTAATCCTTTGGTGTACAGAGTAGTTGTAGACACCGTGTCTCAAATACCCTCCTTGAACAGTTTCCAAGGAATCGGTTTTCATGAACCCGCTCATCTTCAAAAGGAGACCGGAGAAATTTGACCTAAGTTATCGTCGATAACTGAAAATACGAATCAGACAGGTCTAAACAGGCGGGAAGAGTTTGTATCAAACACATCAATGTCAATTCAACATAATCTTTACTTCTAAGACCTCTTTATAGCCCTTAAGTCACTCAAGTCAGTTTTTATTATTTTCTAGCGATTTTTCTGCTCTTGATTATTTTCCAGTAAGGTAGAATACTGCTGGTTTATTTGTTTAGTTATCTCGGCAGTCAACGATGCCCCGTCCTTTTTTAAAGTTTTCTAAGTTCAGAAATCATATATTTTACAATAAGAATATTTCCATAGATGACTAGTCGTAGATAGAATAAAAAAATGAAAACATGGTAAAATTATGCGGCGAGGTAACAAAGACACATTATTACAAAAAGAACTCGTTCAGCACAGAATATATTCATCTCAAGACATATCAGATATTCCCAGCAATTAATATAGAAACATTGAGGATGGCTCAGTTCACCAATTGTGCAGAACAGGGTTTGAAGTTTGACTGTTTCGGAGTCTAGAATCCCTATGTCATCGCGGTGAATTCATCAATGACGGTAAGTTACCTTGGAAATGCGTTTCATTTTGTTTGTTAGGAGTTCTCTGTTTATCATGGAGATCAGAAAGGTACGTGAAGTAAACTTCAGTTTAAGAATGCTTTTTTTAAAATCAAAAAGGTCTTCAGTTGCCGTCCAATCATAGGTATGACCAGTTCCTTAGTGTATGGAAATCAATAATTTCTCGCGTTGAAGTATGCAAGTCACGTTTTTAACATTTACCGACACAGATTCAACTTAGATTTCTCACTTCAAGCGTATTCACTGAGGTGTTCAATTTCATTGAAAATTCACATATTGCCTGGCTATCATTGCACAATTCGGAGACAAATAACGTCGTCAATTTAGAACAAATTCCAACAGCTCTACTGTTAGCTGGTGTTAATACTCCCGATCATTCTGTTATCTATGGCCACCTCAAAAATTTAATTTTGGAATCTGGTGGCCATGTGGCTGTTATCAGTCCTGGTGCCAATACAACAAGTGTCCGTAGTCTTGTTTCTCTTGTAGTGCAGCAACTATCGGATGATTCTTATCACCAAAGTAAACGGCTTAGAAATGATGAAGATTCTGATGAAAACTCGCGTGTCACCCTTCAAGATTGTAAGGAACCAAAGTATACTTCAGTGGTAAGCAATCCTAGCATTTTGTTACAAGAAAAAAAGTGAGACTATAATTTATGAAAGACCTTTGAGCGACGCTAAAGTGACCTTGAGAATACCCACCTACTAACTAGAACTAAATGAGGTCTATAAAGCAGTACGGGGAACTATAATTATGCTTTACAATTGATGGTTAGGGTTAGGAATTAGATTAAGGGTTTTCATCACGCACTGACATCAGATATAGTGCCGTAATAGTATTTAGCCAAATGGATGAGTGAATTCCGAAGTTGAGAGGACGAGATGCAAATTTCTGGCGCCTTAACTGGGTTGGTGGACACAGAGGGTCCACCTAGGGGAGTTGGGAAACCCTGATTCCAGACCAATGGTGCACATGGGCTCCAGGTTCTCAATGAAACAACTGACGTATGAACCAATCGTTGGTCACCGGCTACCATGGCTATGCATCTCTTGACGTTGCTGCACTGCTTTGCAGATTAGACCTATAGGTTAAATGTTCTGGTGGGGTTTAAGAAAACCACCTGTTACGTTTTGGTCACCCGGTTGCATATCCACTTGGTGCCTCTTTGTACCAATTTTTATGTTTAAATGAATAATTAATATAACTTTAGCACCGTCCACTCGGTCGTTCCACCACACATAAGCAATGCTTTTAATTCATGTAATCAAAAATCTATGTCTTATACTTTAGAAGACCATATTTTTTATAGTTGTAAAGTAATGCAGACTGGACTTTGTGGAGTATACTCACCTTTTCTCCAAAAGACTGCTATCTTGCTTACACCACAAGTAAGGAAATTTGGTAAAAGTCAACCGAGCTCTCCAAATCTGTGCAGATATTTCTTTTGATATCCACCCATCAGGGTTGATAGGTTTTTCAACATATGTGAATGGCCAATGCATTCAACTTCTTAACTGCCTATCATTAGTTCAGGAGTTGGGTAAACCAGTCCCGAAGCACCGTTTTACATTTGGAGGGAAACATGCATTATTTCTCAATGCTATCAAAGGACTAGATTTTTATCAATGTCCTTACTAGGTAGGGTTACTTTATCTGCATATTTTAAGTCGATAAGTGATTCTCATGTTGTCAACCTTCATGTTAATCTAGTTTTATCATGCATATATTACTTTAGGTACAGTCAAGTCTTCTCAGCTCAAAAGGTATTTTTCAACTAAGTGAAATATAAAATGTACTGGATACATAAATGTGAGTGATCCAGACAGGATTTCATTTATCAACACATAAATAATCATTTTAGTTGCGGATATTTCCTTTCAATAAATTTGCAAAATAGGGCTGATGTTTATTCAACTTATTCAGTACATGCAGGTCTATGTAATCTGCTTTGAGCAACATGTCTGGTATGAATTGGTTATCCAAAAGGATATAACTTGCGGGGTCAGGCAACATCTCCATTTATGAAAAGAACGTCAAGTTTTACATCGGTCACAAATGCTCTTTTGTAGTCTTCTGGCAGAATTTGTTGTTGATTTTGTTTGATAAATTGCCTAGTTAGTTCATGTGATCGGCGGTTCTATTTTGTTACTGTAAAGTAGTTTGCTTTGTTGAGATTGATATACTATTAATAACATTTATCAACCTATTCGTGTTAGGCTCTACTTTTTCATGACAATTTCAGGATACAATCTTTATTAACAGAATAAAATATCTACAGAAACCTAATGTTGTATTACAAAGTAATTAAAAGTTACAGCTCTTAGTTTAATTATCCCTCGTGATCCACACTGACTGGATATATTCCCTGATTGTTTATGTTTTTAATTAGTCTACTGTGTCTAATTTATCAAGTACACGTTTGTGTACTTTTATTTGAACTACACTTCTATGATGCTTAATGATACTACTTTCCAACAACCAAAAATAACTGATTGATTAATTACTGGTCAGTAGTTTCAAATTTGTCGAGTCCTTTAAAGTGAGTTGAATTCTATCTATTTAGTTGCCATACGGCTTCTAGTCTAGGCGACTGAAAGTGGGGTATATTAAATTTCTGATGTAAGGTGCTTGGTTACAGTCGATAGGATACTCTGGCCTAGGTCTTGTGCCAGTTGTTACTTGCCACCAAGGCATACTCTCGATCTTAAAGGAACTAGTGCTCTTCTTAAGATTCTGGCCCTCATCCTTTCAATATGATAAAAACGTCTTACTGTAGGACATCAACTAAGAATAAATCTCCACACAGTCCCCTGCCGATTATTTTCTATCATCCAAAATCAAGGTAAAGTTCACATGATGTCAAGTCACTTAGATTGATGGCCGCACTTTAACCCGATTGGTAGAACTCGATCAACCATAAGGACTGGACATGAAGTTAGTTGCTACTCAGTTTTCAATCGAAGTGGATATCCAAGTGTTACTGAAAACCTTTTGCAGGACAAATATCTCGGCGGTAACGTGTCAGTCTATGAAGCTGGGTTAAGTGGATCTGAGTCCTATAAGAAGCATCAATCCCCTCACGGTTGGAGTAGAGGAGTAATGGAAACTGTGTGAAACTCTAAAAAGTCCTTCAAGACTCCAGGTACGCCTTGGTGACAAGTACCAACTAGTATGGCCCCCAGGTCCAGGGTTTCTTGTCGCTCACTTCCAAGTACTCAAGATCAAAATCTGCTGTTTGACAAATATCAAGTGTTCGTATTATCGAAAATTATCGTACAAGATCTACGAATTAATTCAAATATTCTGCCACTTGATTGGAGTCAAACTGATCATTGTAGATTATTTAGTATTGAAATTAATCTTTAAATAACTTAAGTGTTGATTAATTTCTGACTTCATTAAGCTATGTTAAACCATAACGTATTTGAAAAAAACCTTGAAGCTCTTTGTCCAATATTTATCCTAAAATTGTTCCTTTTCTTATGCATAGAAAAATTTCACTTCGGCTACACGTTCCTCGTATTTGGCTTTGGTAGAATGGTACTACTCTGGAGTAAGTGGGCCAACATCTTTAATGATTACCCCTTTTTTCTTCATACCACAAATATCGAAGTTTTATAGCTAATAAATGGTGATAAATTTGTGTTCAGTAAATAATTAATCAGGTTGCTTATGTTCATTACCATCTACCGTTGTTATTAGTATTTTCTATATATATTGTTTTACGTGCAGTAAAACATTTCGTTTGTCTTGTCCAATTTATCTGAAGACAATGTAAATTTCCAATTTCCAGTTGGAAACTTGAGTTTAGCTTGGATCCAGTTGTGCTGAGTATCTTTTAATTTACAAAAACCAAAACATCGAATCTGATAAACTTCACATTGATAGTTATCCAAAAGATTCTATCTTACTATATCTTGGGTTTATTACTTAGAGAAGATCGATTAGTTAATAGTTGTTAATTACAAGAATTATATTCGAATTTCAATGTGTTGAATGACAAAGAGTGCAATTCCCACCGAGATTTGCCTCTCAAGTGTGTACATTTTTACGTAAACGGACTTTAGGAATTACAGAAGAGATATTCACTAGTTTTGAACTCAAATAGGTCACATCGCTATCAACCACCGTCGGAGGGGCTCGATAGAAGACTGTCGCTCGTCCCGGAGTACATGCTTAGATCCAGATCATGCTCTAGTGCGAGCGCGTATTTGTTTTCGTCTTACTGGACATAGGAAAGACGCTGCAAGGAAACCTCTTAGGGTCCTACTTAATGATAGTCAAGATAAGAATGTATTTCAGGAACAATTAAAAAACGTCAGGCAGCCATATAAGTGATGCCCACCCCGAGGCAGCATGGAATGACATCCGAAAAGCTGTGGAAACCAGTGATATCTACTAGTAAGGTAAACCATAAGCTTAGGGAGAAACATTGGATTTCAGCAGCATCTACCGCACTGATAGATGCTCGGAAACTCATCCTATCTGGCTCTGAACATAACGAAGAGTGGAGTCAGCTTAAGCGCAAGCTGACAAGAAGTCTACGCAATGATCGTGAACACTGGTGGGTAGCGAAAGCAAGAGAGATAGAAAAGGCAGCGGCAATAGGTAATGGCAGACAACTCTTGAGATGTGTTGGGGAAACCGGTATTAGGAACCCAACTGTTAGCGAAACTATCTCGGAAAATGATGGACGTATTATTCTAGGAGATTGGATTGATGGGCAGAACACTTTAGGGATCAGTTCAACTGGCCTTCAGCCACACTTCGGTTTCCCACGATCTCCAGTCAACCTGAATGGCAAGTTAATTTAGGTCCTCCGACTGTTTACGAAGTTGAAAAAGCCATAGGAAATCTGAAGCGTGGGAGAGCAGCAGGCCCTGACAGGTTTACCTCGAAGATTTTTTAAGGATGGTGGTCCAGTATTAGCAGTGAGGTTGACTGAGGTCTTAGGTAGAATCTGGGAACTGGACGTAATCCTATCTGACTAGTCTCAATCACTGATTGTGCCAGTCTATAAGAAAGGACAAAAGTCCTCTTGTGACAATCACAGAGGAATCAGTTTGACTAATATATTGTCTAAAGTACTAGCTTCAATAATACTTTGACGCTTAACCAAAGCTCGTAAAGAGCAGACTAGAGAAAACCGGGTTGCTTTTCGTTCTGGACGTGGTTGTATAGACCAGATATTCACACTACGTGAGGTCCTAGAATATAGACACATTCAGACGCCCCATAATGGTAGTATTTCTCGAACTTAAGGCGGCATTCGACTCTGTTGGTCGTGAGGTTCTATGGCAGTGTTTGTCACTGAAAGGAGTACCAAAGAAGTACATTAACCTTGTAAAGGCTCTCTACTCGAATACAACTGGTTGAGTGAGAGCTTATGACGAACTGTCATCAGAGTTGATTACCTCGAGTGGTGTTCGTCAGGGCTGTCCACTCTCCATTCTTGTTTAACTTTGTCATTGACGTGCTTTTGAAGATAACACTTTCCTCGTCTAGATTTCAAGGGGTTGAACTTCTACCAGGAGATTCACTTGTTGACTTGGAATGTGCAGATGACATAGTTCTATTTGGTGAAGACGCTGACAAAATGCAGAGTCTTGTGACCACTCTAAGCAACAATGCAAGCATGTTTGGGATGCGATTCTCCCCCTCGAAATGCGAAATGTTGCTTCAGGATTGGGTTGCATTGACACCCGAACTAATGATAGGGAGTGAAGTAGTTGATCGTGTCGACCGCCTCACGTATCATGGGAGTCTCATCAGCCCTTGTGGTCTGGTGTGTGACGAAATCTCAGCACGGATACAGAAGGCTCGACTAGCTTTTGCCAACTTGCGTCATTTATGGCGTAGGCGAAATGTCCGTCTATCAACCAAAGGACGTGTATACTGTGCAGCAGTTTGTTCCGTTCTACTTTGTGGCAGTGAAACATGGCTGGTAGTCAGTTAGCTACAACGTAGGAACAGGCACATATATGCATCGTTCCAGGTTGCCATACCGCATTATCACAGCAAGATAAACACCGGATTCATAGGAGTGGTTAAGTCAATGGTGGTAATATATAAAAGAATGATTGCATATAAGGATATAGTATAGGATGAAAGAATTAGGTCGTAGAAAGAAAGACATGAAGTGATTTTAATCTCTTAATTTAAGGGAAGACAGAGAGTGTCACCCAGAGTTTCCAACCATTGGTTACGATAGTCACGCGGACCCCAACTAAATAGTGTGCATCTACCAACATGGCTCAGACCAGAAGTTAGTGACTTTGTGAACCGATACCACGTTTTGGTTCGGCCGTTTCTAACTTTCTTCCAACCATCCTCAACACTAGTCAGCATTGCGTGTCGTGATGATCGGTATTCAGGAACACGCAACACGTGACCCAACCATCTCAGTCGATGAAGATTCACAACCTCATCAACTGGTTTAACATCATTCCCTAATACCCTGTGTCCAACACCAATATTACTTACCCAGTGATCCCAGCACACGCCAGCGATATTTCTAAGACATCTGTGATGAATTACTAGTAGCTTACGATTGTCTTCTACTCTTAATGACCACATTTCGCAGCCGTTAAGTAGAACAGAATGAACTGCTGCGCAGTATACTCGTCCTTTTATTGATAGACGAATATCTCTCCTTCGCCATAGGTGACGTAAGTTGGTAAAAGCCAAACGAGCTTTTCGAATCTGCTGAGATTTCATCTGACAACAACGCATTAGGGCTGATCAGATTTTTTCCTCTTTCCAAATTTATTTGACTGGAATATACTCCTTGAATAACATCTATCCGATCACTGCCTATACTTTTACTACTGCCACTATGGGATTTGAATCGACGATTGTGTCTGTGCTAGTGTGGTATGGCAACTCGAAGTGATGTACGTACGTACGAAGTTCTACGTTGTTACCGACTGACTGACTGATTCACTGGTTTTAGACCAATCAGTTAGTCATGTTCAACTTAGTACCTGATAAATCTGCAGATCTGTTCAAGTTACCACACTACATATGAACCCAAACATTGGTACAAGGGGGCACCAAATACGTATGCGCCACGCAATAACAATGAGGTTGTGAAGAGATAAAGTGCGCATGATAAAGAAGAAGAAGAACAACGACCAAAAATAAGTGTATGGGAGTAAAATAATAATAATAATGATCATCAAAGGAGCAGTTCAGTTAATAAAAATTCAACTAGAAAAAATTCTTTCAGTGGAAAAAGTTACGTTCACTTTTATGAAGAAAGTAAAAGAAAGTTACAGAGGGATCGCCACTGGCTTCTGTTCTGGGCCATATCGGATAACGTCTTCAGCCGTTGTTGCATTACCTCTAGGACCCTAACCAGGGAGTCGTGAAAGACCAACAGAAGCCTGTTCTGTACAGTTCTCTTTCACGACACCATGTCATACACTGACTACCTCTCCAGTTTTTTAACGTGTCCCAGCGTCGGTAAATAGTCAACGACGGAATTCTGTGGGGCGACATTCGTAGAACATGTCCAAGCCACCGAGGTCGATGTTTCAAGATAGTGAAACCATCTGAATTATCGTCTCTGTGTCCAAACACACGATGCTGAACCTCTGCATTACTAACATGGTGTTGCCACTGGATGTCAGCAATCCTTCGGAGACAACGATGGCGTATGGTGCTCTGGCTTTCACTGTACGTGAATTGACCTTACCACTCACGCCACCACCAGCATTTATGCAGCTACCCAGATGCACGAACTTTCCGACTACAATTCGCTCGCTACCCATGGTGAATGCAGGTTCAGGGTCTTTCCAGTTTTGTAAAAGTACTTTGCACTTGGAAGGTGAAAAACATATACCATACCTACGGACACTGACTGCGAACCGATTAAGTGCGGATTGCATGGCTTACGTATCATCTCACAGGAAGGCAGTATCATTCTCATACTTAATGCCGAAAAGTCCTACTTCAGGCAACAGAAACAGATCCACACCACCTTTACCTACATCCATCGGAGCTATTTCCAGAAACGTCATCGATGGCACAGTTGTAGAGGAATGGTGAGATTGAGAAAATCTACCTAATCCCACTGCTTGAATGGAACAATCGAGAGAGGTGGTTGTATGCCCTCACTTTGCCTGAGTTGTTAGTATATAGGGCTTTCGAAATGTTGATAAAGTTCTCGGGCACGCCCGTCAATAGATAATTCCAAAGAACAGTCCTGTCCAACGAATCGAAGGCAGTCCTGTTGTCGAGAAACGCTACGATTTTTGGCCTATAATAAGTATGACGGTGTTCTAACATTTGGTGGATGGTGAAGATATGATCATTACATCTTCGACCGGAACGAAATCCAACCTGCTCCTCGCGAGTCAATCTTTCTCAGGTTTTGAACAATCTGCGAAGCATGCTGAAGGCCAATAGTTTGGACGCCATCGTAAGTAGACTTATCCCTGATAGTTGTTACAGAAACGACGTGAACCCTTTTTAAAGATAGGAACAACTATTAACTCATTCCACTATGTTGAAACACTCTAATTGCTAGACCTTTGCAAATAATTCAGTCAGTTCCCTATCCCGGAGGCCGCCATCATCTTTAAAAAGGACTGGAGGTAAGTCATCTGGGTCTGGTATTGTGTCGCGCTTCAGGAGTTGGGGTTCCTTGGGGACACACCTCGTTAGGCGGATCAGTCGTTACGGGTCATGAACGGAAGGACAGTCTGATTGATGTTACCGGGGCAGCAGACCAGTCGAACTGCCCCTCGAAAGAACTCCCCATCACCCAAGACGTCGATAGATGTTAATGATCGGCATCGCATCATCTTCACAGATTGTTTCGCTCACACCAGACTTCTTGCTGCCCGTGACTGCCAGTTGGAAGAGCTTCAGGCAGTTACCAGATGCAGCTGCTGCTTCCAACTCGTTGATATGCTCCGACCACCAGGCTTCTCGGTCCTTACGCAAGCTTTGCCCGATTTCATTACGTAACAGCCTTCGTTTATGGTCAAACTCACGATTACCCAGAGTAGACGTACGTGCTTCGATGAGTTGTAAGGAACCTGTAGAAACCCATTGCTTATAAGCGGGATGTGTGTGTCTGTGTCTAAACACCTGACCTAAGCATTGACGTCTCCGGCCAGTACTACAACATCTGTCGGATGCATTTTCTGTATAAGAACGGTTATCTGATGGCAAAATTCGTCCTTGATCGCTTCCAGGTTGCAATTTGTCGGAGCATAGGCGGAGATGATGAAAAGGTATCGTTTCTTACACCGATTTCTTCGCATTCTGATGAAATTTTCTAATTTTACAACACAACCAACTGTTAATGGGGATCCAATCGGTCAGTGCTACCTCACATCTAGCGCTTAGTGCGAAACCAACACCAACAAAATTAGACGATGCCACAGGGTTCCTGGATAAACGCACGTGAAACAAGCTTTTCGGAACGACAGATGGAGAGCGAATCTGTAGTACTTCACTAGAGTCTTGATTACGAGTCTCGGATAGACAACACACATCAATATTAAGACTTCTTTAAGGCATAGCCGACCCAATATTGTCCGATCTACATTAGTGTGAGAACGTTGAAGGAAGCCAGTTTGAATGGTATACAGGGTTCCAGAAAAACTGTTTCAGTATTCGTATTCGGTGGTAACATTCAATTTTCAACCAATCAGTGAATTGAGATCGTTTAGATACGACAGTAATTCCACCATAGATGAGCTGCTGTACAAGTTGGAAAACAAGAATACACAAAGTGGGAATAGAAGAGAGTAGATAAGTGACGTAGTATATAAAGAAAATAAAAATGTTATCAAATGATTGTAAATGGGATTTGTTTGAATGCTAATTGAAGCAAGAACAATTTTTCCAGTAGTAATCATTTAGTTTGTGTATATTAACATAGCGGAATAAAATTATTTCAAGACAAATCTCAGAGCAGTTATCCGTCGAAACAAATAGATATAAAAAAGAATGTATATGATTCCAGGACTTAGGGTTTAAGGGAAGACTAAAAATGAATGCAGAATCAGTTAAATGACTGAAGTTACTTATATCGATAAACTTTATGTCATAAATGGTCATATTTTTTAGTTCCCTCTAATTTTAAGATTTTAAAACATTCTTTTGTAGACGAAACATTACTGTGGCACCAGCGTACCTGAATGTAATCCAGAATTTAAAACACCAGGTGAGTTTCAATGGTCACTAAGTTTTTGTTATATTGACTTGTAAGAGTTATCCTTATTTCATCGCTAAAATTTCTTTGTTTTTTTAGCACCACCAACTACACCTCGTTCCCGTTCTCAGCGTAGTACCAGTCAACCAAGATCTCAAAAATCACATCAACTTTGTCCTATGTCAGCTGCCTCGCCTAGATTGAGCACACCAACTAGAAGAAATCAGAGATTTAGCCTACATTCTAATGAAGTTAGTAACACTTTAAAAAGCGAACTAGCTGACAGTATATCATCATCTCCAGGACCAGGAATGCTTTCTGAGTTAAAACAAAATTCGTCGTTACTTAGACCTCTAGTCATTATTCTTACAGAGATCGAATCCATCCCTGTTCAGGTTTTATGTGATTTCATCGAGCTGACTTCTCTTTATGTGGCCGGTCAGATTAGAGGTCGTTCTTGTTCATTACCAATAACTTTTGTTTTCGGTTTGTCTACAATTCCTGAGATTGGATTTGAACCACGTTTTAGTGCATCCATACTAAGCCGATTAACGATTCGACGTTTTTCTGTTCCTTCACCGTCAGCTTTCTTAAATGTTGTGTTAAAGGAAGTAAGTTTATTATCTTTATTTTCCCTCTTTCTAAGATAACTATAATTGATTCGTATTATTCAAGTGTTGATAGATATAGATATATTTATAAAAATGTTCATTACTATTTTAATTCTAATATGAGAATTTTATATGCTGAGATGAAATTGGACTTTTTAATCTTGTGATATTTAATCCCGTCCAGTCTAGCTACTATTTTTAATTCTAGGCGTTTGATTAACTTTAACATACGTAACACATTGAAACCACCTCAGTTGATGAAAATTTATTACCTCATCAGTCGGTTTACCAATCTTACCTAGTACCCTATTCTTAATCCAGACATTGCTTATTCTTTGGTTCCAAAATAAACGAGGAATGTTTTGAAGATACATTTGACCGAATACTGGTAACCTGCGATTATCCGCTATTCCTAATAGGCATGTTTTACACCTATAACGTAGGACGGAGCAAACTACTGGGTAGTAAATTCATCCCTTGTTTGGAAGACGGGTATCCTGCTTGAGCCATAAGTAATGCCAGTTGGCAAAAGCCATTCGAGCATTCTGAATCCGTGTCGAAACTTCGTCAGGTGCCATACCATCAGTACTGATGAAACTCCCAAGATAAGTGAAGGAGTCGATGCGTTCAACTACTTCACTCCCAATCATTAATTCGTGCGCTTACGCAGGTCAATTCTGATGCAACATTTGACATTTGGAGGGAGAGAATTCCATCCCAAATATGCTTTCATTGTTGCTTAAGGTGGTTAGAAGATTGCTTCTTGTCATTGTCTTCACCAAACAGAACTATATCATCTGCGTATTCTAAGTCAACAAGTAAATATTCTGGTAAAAGATCGATCCCTGAAAAGTTAGACGGTGAATATATTGTCCTTAAAGGCATGTCTATGACGAATTTAAATAAATATGCACACTATCATGAAGAATTATAGACTGAAACAAAAGGAACAATCCAGTTCTCTCTCTTTGTGTTTAATATTTTTTAGCTGATATAAATTCGTGATAAAAATAACCTTATGCTACTGAGACGATTCAATAAAATCTATTTTAATAAAAAGTAGGAGCTGTGTAGTATTGTGGTTAATGGATTCGACCTTTGGTCACAAATTTAACCTTTTTACCACAGCAATCAATAGTTGAAAACGTGTGAAATGATTCAGAATCTGTCATAGTGACACAGACAGATTTACTCTTTATCTTCCTGCATATCTTTAATTCCACTATTTCTTCATTGATACATTCTCATAGTTTTTTTGAATCATATTTCCAACGTTTAGTCTTTCTGGATATGGATGAAAGTGCTGTTATTTCAATATATTTATTATTCATCTTATTATTTGTCTCGTTGTACTGGTATGGTATGACAACTTGGGCTAACTCATATTTATGACAGGCTGTAAGTTGATTACAACTGACTGACTTGTGGTATATGCTACTTATGTTAACAGACATAAGTAGTATGTAAAACCAATTAGAAGTTGAATGCCTGGAATCAGAAGGTTCAGAAGATCGAATCAAAGAGCGCAGAAATGTAAACAGAGTAATTGTAATAACAATAAAGAAACGTTAAAGTTTAAAACAATTGATGAAGGATTTACAAATTTCGTATTTAATGTATTTTTTTTCACATTTGATGAAAGAATTGTGTAATTCTGTATTAAACAATAAACTGGTTGTCCCCAACTAAGTTGTCGTTCATTGCACACTCCGGCTAGGGCAATCGGGTAACATGACTAACCCATAGATACCCACACACACACAAGCAACTGATAGCCCAAAGTTGAGTACATAAACCCTTATCTAATTATTGACATCGTTCAATTCTTTTTCTTGGTTAACTTAACAATTCCATTGTTATAACTTGTAAACCTGTGTGCCCTGTTTATTGTATAACGCAACGATACCACCAATCAGAGGGCAGCGAATTATCGATCGTACCAGTGATGCATAAAACACGTGCAAGCAGCTCAGAGTCCTGATTGGTTTCGCTTCCCGCTTAGCCCTGCCTGTTAAGTCCAGAACACCAATCTCAGCCTCTGCAATATGAATCCTGTATTTCAAACATACGGGGTTTATATACCAATCAAACAGACCACAACGTACCATAAAATAGAAATTAACATTTGTACAATATTTGGGCAAAAGTGACTATGAATGTGTGAGACCGTAATTAATAGACTGGTCATAACTCAGGAGCGGTAGATGGTATAATAATAGTTCATAGATCAAAATAAAACTCATAATAACAGGGACATGAATATGCATAGTTTAGTTACATAATAATTACACGATAAAAATATACTCATAGTATTGGTCCATAAATGGATCCCAAAAATTACCATTCATTATTCTTATCGGGATATAACATCCATGTAATAATAATTATATTAATCATTATAATTTATACCTTTTCCCCTTATCCATTCTAATGGTTTTTCTTATACCTTCACTTTCTCAGATTATACAATTTCCTGGATTACATCCAACTTATTCTGTATTAAATTATTTAATGGATGGATTATTTCTTTGTTTAGATTATTCAGTGAAAAATTTCTTACAACGTTTAAAAGTTGGTTTCATCATTGTTTTTTTCCACCTAAAAGTGTTTTCTTTTGTTATTGATTAGTTAATTCCTTAAGTACGTGTGTGTGTGTGTATGGGTTCGGATGAGAATTTGAATTAAACATTCTTTATCAGTTTGATATATAAGACTGTAGATGATCACGGATTTCTATCTCATTTTACTTATTCTAGTTTGTACTGTTCAGTAATAACATTCACTATCACAAAAATAGTGTACCGCAAAAACCGGTATCTAAACTTGTATGTGATTATAATGCGTTGCATCAATGTATCTATATGGCTGTACGCGTGTGTGTTTGGATAGATAAAGAGCTTGGGAATGTTACACTTAAACTATAAATCATATGGAGTAGAAATGTATCTGCTTGAATTAATTGGTATTTCATTGTCAGTCAGTCAGCTACAACTTAACACTAGGCACATATATACATCGGTCCAAGTTTCCATACCTCATTAGCACAACAAGATGAACACCGAGTTCATAGAAGTAGTTAATTCAATGGTAGTTATGTATAAAAAAAATTGTGTATGAAGATATAGTACAGGCAGAAAGAATTAGTTCGTAGAAAGAAAGATATAAAGTAATTTTAATCTCATGGTTTAATGGAGGATAAACAATGTATACACCGACGAAACGGTCGTTCAATGCTTCCAGGTTTTCTATGGTGGTCTAGCTTCAACTGAATCATGATCTCAAGTATTAAAAATTTGTATATTGGAAGATATGCACATTATCTGATTATGGTCAGTGAGTTAACTGTGATTTGTGCTTGTAGATATAAGTCAACACAACTTTTTTTTGTGACATAGGCTTTTTCGTTTGCTTTATTTCGATTAACATTTGTGCCGAGCTCTGCTTCGTTCCGATTCCCGCATTTATTGTTAGAAAAATTCACTATTACTTACCCGGTGATATCAGCAGATGCCAGAAATATTTCTAAGGCATCTGTGGTCAAATACTAGTAGCTTACGAGTGTCTTCTACTCTTAATGGCGCAGGATTTGCTGTCAACTTTTGTCAGCTAATTAAAACCACTAATAATTCACGTGAGATTTGTTGATAAACAAAACCCTAGTCCCTTAATATATAACATTTTATTACTTAACATATTGTATGTCGTATATTATTCATTGTTCCATTGCCATTATTCATGGCTTATTTTTAATGCATGTGTGCTTGACTGTATTGTATTATACCCCATGCTTTAGCTTTAGTAGCAAGTATCCTATCTTCTACTCCCTGTTTCTTTTTGTTTATAGTTTTGCATGTTAGAACATTATTTGAAAACACCACATCCTGAATTGTTACAATCACCGGAGTTGGCGTACAAATATCTGACATCAATAAATTCTAGAGATTTAGCTAAAATTATCACATTGGATTATCCTTCATTAGCAAATTGTGTTGTGGATAATACAACAACTTCAACTCCTACTGTCAGTCATCCTACACTTCCTATTGTTAATAACTCATCTCCACAAACTGCACAACAAACAGCGCATAGACTTGTCAACAAGATTGTAGAACATTTAGAAAACCATTTAAAATTACAATATTTAATTCCATATGTATTGAATTGGTTGTTGATTATTATAACACCAGTATCGGCTCGACCTTTGGGTAAAAATGTAAGCTTAAATCATTTAAATGATCTTTGTTTTACTTTATACAGTGATCATTTTCAATGTCATTTCATCGTCTTGTTCAATACGGGATAATAATCGAGTTCTAACATCGGCATCTGTGAAAGATTGTAATCCAAAAACGAATAATAAGTCTTTAAATTGGTCACTTGATAATGCATTTTATTTAAAACGTTCAGCTCGTAAATTATTCCTGTTTGCGTATGTCAGATAATCTTCATCAGCGTCCTTTTTAACTAGAGGCATTTATAACGAATATGGAATAACGATGCTTGTACACAAAATATCTTGTTCAAAATACCGACGGTTTTATCAAAAATCAAATCCCTTGGGTGTTTTGGCACGATAGGATTTTTATATTTAACGTATTCTTGTAAGCCAATTTTTTGTGTTAGTGATCTTACCTTCTTTGCTTTCTCTATATCCTTATATTCTATTTGGAAAAGATCTTCGATTCTAGCAAACCATGACTCAAATGTGTGTCCACTTTCTGCATCAAAAACAAATTCTAGGACTGAATTAAGTGACGGTTCTATTTCTTTACGTTCTGAGACTCATTTAGACTGCGTTGGAATTTTGACATAAATGATTTAAGTATCTGTTCTTGCGAAGCTAAAAATCACCTCTGCTGTTGCTAAAGAAATGACTGCATTTGCTCCATAATAGTGGTTTTTTCTTTCTGCCTGATTCAGGTAAGTAATTAAAAAAACTGAAGGACTAAGTAGTAAATAATGTTGTACAAGGACCCTGAAGACAACTCCGTACGTTGAATGATCAAATAATTACTCTGATTCTCGACCACTTACCGCATGACCTTAATTTTTTTGTGACCCATCAAATATCACGTGACAACTCGCTAATTAGAGTACCGACTTCTGTGACCCTGTTCATGTCTAACACCAATGATGCGTCAAACAGCACTAGCAACCTTGAGTCAACCTTGAGTCCTTGTCGGTCTTCTGATATAACAAAGTCTATATCCATAATCCTCTGGTAACCAATACTGTAGTGAAAAAGAACACGATTGGGGACAATTGACTGTATTTGAACATGAAATTACAGAGCATCTCACTAAAATCTGAGAATCATACAGTAACTACTTAATTTGCGGAATATCAATCAGTTGTCTCAAACTTGACTGTTTCTTTTGCAAATATCAGTCCATCCTCTCAGATTTCATTGTCCCTGCATTTTTATACCAATTGCTTTCCGTTCCCGTTCTTTCCTTCTCGATCTTCTGCTGAAATACATTATATTCGTAACTAACGTTACATACTACTTATATGGATATAAGTAGCTCACATCACACTACTAGTTATTAAACATTGAAACACGCTCCATGCAATAAGTTAGTAAAACTAGTGAACGCATTGTGATTTGAATAATGGAGTTTCGTCAGCTGCTACTCACTAGTAGAAAAAATGTCGATTCGACAATCCGATTCAGTGGTCAGTTAATATCTTTCTAACTGAATGCTAACCTTTTAAACCATAAAACTGAATGCCCCGAGTTCAAATACCACATAGAGTAGGTATATTTTATGGACGAGTGCCAACTTGTTTAAAGCTTAAGTCTAGGATATCGTATCGCCTACTTTCAATCACCTTACAATCCAGATGGATTATCCTGTAATCTACTAAAGGATGAGTATACTGTACAGTAGTTCACAGCTGTTATCATCTACCTGAGCTACGAATCTTCTACACCATTTCAATGATTTTTTTTACAGATTGGAGATTTATATCGTTTATGGTTGAAAAATGGTTTAATCAATGCAGAGGAATTCAACTTGACAATAAATCTTCTAGGGTAAGCTGTAACAATATCATCTTTATATGATGTAGAGAAATATCTTCGACAATTCTCTCCTAAATATCTTTTGTTTACAGTTCTAATTGTACTGATGTTAATATCAATTAAGTGATGACGATGACGATCTAATGCGATTAAGATGTTTGACCTTTAACTACTGAGTTATCGGTTAGTTGGTGCTATACTTCACCTGTTTCGATCGTAGTAATATTAGCTGCCTATCACATACGCAAACCTGTATATGTTTACTGAATTGTGTTGAACTGTAAAAACTTAATGTCATAATTTACCTTCCGTTGTCTGTCATAACCGGTTTCGTTTTCTGATGCCCCAAGAAGCGATATCATTTCACAATATGGACAACTGGGAAGTGACAATCTCTTTCGTACAACTAACAGTACTCGAGATTACTGAAGGCAACAAACAAATCCAGTTATTCCAGTCGTACACGTGAAAGAATTCTGATGTGTTGTTCATCATTTGACGATTATCACTGTACCATCTGTTAATGTCCGTGTGCAGACAGTTGACAACTTCATTCATGAATTTTTTTTACATTTTGTTTTAAACTTTTTTCTTGTAGTTAATGGTTTTTGATTTATTTCCTTCCTTCTCCCTTCATCCATACCTCTTCAAACGTTTAGTGGAGTACCCAAAGAACATTTATTGAATTCTGTACAAGATGCTTATGATTATCTACTGAAAGAATCTACTTATTTAATTCAGTCGCAAAATCCAACTTCACTTTGGTGGTCGTCGTCTACCTTATCAGAAGGTAGAAAATGTTTGAATAATTTAGCTGACTCAACCCTGTCTTGGCATACAAAACTATCCATGGCTTGTCAAGGTAAGTGTGTATATATGTTTGAGGATTTTTGAGATTTATAATAAAAATAATAATAGTAATAGTAATAATAATAATAATAATAATAATAATGAATGGGTCTTGTATTAATAAAATGAGTCGGTAGAATAATTATTTAATTGTTCAAATCATGAATAAATTGAAGCTAGACCACCATGGAAAACGTGGAAGCACTGAACGACCGTTTCGTCCTATTGTGGGACTCCTCAGCAGTGCGCATCCACGATCCCGCTCGCGGGATCCAAACACAGGACCTACTGATCTCGCGTGCGAGCACTTAACCACTAGGGCACTGAGCCGGCATCCAACGGTGTTAATGTTTAACTTCAACTAATCCACGAAATTGAGCTACAAATCCACCATTGTCGTCAGTGAGTTATTATCTCATAACTGACCCGGTTGAACTCCACTGGTCACTGCTTCTCACTAGAACTCAACAATTGAAATGACTAAAATCTCCACAAAACCCCCTTCTGATAATAATCAACATATGCTCACTAGTGAACTGGCTTTAAGATGTATATCCCGGAGAAAATGGTTTGTTCCCTCCCTCCGATCAACGATGATATAGGTGAAAATATGTAGATATTTATAAAACATTGTAATATGTTGTTGAAGATCAGTCATTGCTGATGCCAGTTTTGTAGCGCTTTGTTCAACAGTACGCGTGCAGTCTAAAAATCCTAAATGATAATTATTATAAAAATCTCTGTTTTTTGGTTAAGTCGAATTTTGGAGAAATCATGTATTCCCGCACATGTTGTTTGAAAAATAGCAAAATGTTTATTGTTTTCATTTGAAATTTGTACAAGTAGATTAAGAGAAAGTTTGGAGGGGTCCAAACCTATACGTGTGGTCAGAATATAGAGTCATTGACTGTTAATCTGAACCATGTTGGTGAACTCACACTACTTATTTGAAGTTTGCAGGATAACCACAATCAGTGGTTGGGAACGTTGGGTTTCATGGTTCACAATCATTCACAATGGTGTAGATTTATTCACTCTTTGAACGGCTTTTAGATTTTGATCTATGTTATTTTATGCATACCTGTCAATGTTTAGCGTTTTTCACTATCATCGCTGTCAGATTATTTCTATACCTCTTAATATTTATCTTTCCAATTTCATTTTATCATTCTAATTTGATATGTCTGGCGCTTCAACCGTGTTGGTGGACACGGAGGGCCTACCTAGAGAAGTTGGAAAACCCGATTCAAAACCAATGATAAACATGGGCTCCAGGATCCTGAGTGAACAAATGGCGCATGAACCTAGTGTTGGCCACCCTGTTACTATGGAAATACATATCCTAACGTTGCTACACTGCCTTGTGGATTAGACCTCTAGGTCAAAGGCTCGGGGTGTGACGAGCATATGCATTGTCGTAGTAGTCGGTGACCAAGGATTGGTTCATCGGTCATTTTTTTCACTCAGAATCCTGAAGCCTGTGTTCACCATTGGTTTTGAATCAGGGTTTTCCAACTCCCCTAGGTGAACCCTCTGTGTCCACCTACCTTGTTAAAGCGCCGAACATTCTCTTCTCATCCTCTCAATTTCGTAAACAACACTCTCATCACGAGAAAGCGGTGAGTAGGACTTCCCTGACAGTCATGTGAGAGAATTTTGAGAGGGAGTGCTGACTCTCCTCACTCTCGACCATACCAGGGCATTCGGGGGCCTAGTCTTTAGTCCATCAAGGATTTAGGCAAACAGAATATTGGTTGTTACTTACTATTCACTAGGAACTATATGTTTATTATATTTGAAAGATTTTCCAGTTACATCAACATCTTTTTCGTTTGTTTCCATTTACTAAATCAAGAAGCATCGATGAATAAACAACTGTCACAGTGCCATCAAGAACAGTCTACCGATAATGACACGTTGACAATAACAGCTGCGACTTCTGTCAGTAATCAGGATAATGCACCAGTTAAACCCGTTGAATTTAATACAAAAAGAAAGATAAGTTTACGTAATTTACGTCAGGTTAGTGTTAGTTTAATCTTATTATTTAATCTGTATCATCAATAACTATGCACTACCACATTATATCAGTTGATTATTAATTGATTAAACTAATCTTGAAACCTTCACTTCCGACGGACAAGTTTCAAATAGGATGAAACATATACCCTGGATTCTACTGTTAGCCACTATCCATCTTTGTTTAAAGTTCACTTTAATGGTTCGATCACGTTTTTTTTTCGCATATGGTGTTATCCCAGTATGGATGTGTTTTGTATAGATTCTAAACTGCGCATTTATTGTTGCTGACTATACAATTGTGTAAAAGGAGACAGAAATGTTATCACAGTTGTTGATGATATAACATTTTACAATGAATAATGATGGTTTTTAGTGTTATAAAGTTCTTTAAACTAGGTGGTTCACTTGTGGAGCTTTTATTTTCATTCTAACCGATGTCAATTATACCTACATCATGTGAACTTCCTAGTTATAGTGCACAAGTGTTAAATCAGTTCATTCTTGTGGTCTTATTTGGGATTCACTGACTTCATATATATTTTTAAAATCTTCATTTATCCTTGTGTTCCTATTAAATATCTTGTATGATTGACCTCTGATCATGTGGTTGATTGACCTTTATCATATGGATTGATAGATCGGATCTATATTCAGTGATCTGTTGACTGCTTAATAATCTAAACCATATACTTCTAGAAACTGTATGACTTTCTTAGTATTCCCTTTATTTTGAATTGTGACGCTTTCCCAGCTAAAAAGGGGCTGTCTAGTCTATTCATTATGTAGTTGTTCTTCGTAGTTTATATAATTTATTATGTAGGTGATGTTGAATTTGTCTTCATACTGTTTTACTTTCCAATCTGCATAAAACTGAGTAAAGTGATTGCTTTGATTTTTAAGCGACATTGATTCCAAATAGGTCAAAACTCCTCATATTAATATATCTAAAATGTCTTACACATATGATAGGTATATTTATTTCCTGGTTTATGAAGTTGATTTTGTGATGGTTTAATGCTTGTGAGGTGGGTCACTAACAAGGGCGGCCTGCTTGAGCTTCTGGGCTACCTGTTCCTGCCATCTAGATATTTAAACAAGTTATCTATTTTTGTTTGTTTTAATATATGTCATTATGTTTATTAATCGCATAACCTATTCTGCTGAGTTTCTGAAAAGTGTACAACCTTTCGTTGTCAAAGTTACAAAAAACTCAATAAGAGACAATGTGGTTGCTGGTAATGTACAGCGAAAATAATGTACATTATTCAGATGTTCATTTACTGAACTGCTAACATCTAACTGGCGATCACTCAATATTTATCGCCAGGACCGACCAAGAAGAAAGAAACGGAAACTTGTTGAAATACTTTACGCTGAGAATACTATATTGTACTAAAAATATAATATTGAATAAAGCTGATGATAATAATAATAATAATTCTACACAAAATAGGCGCGAATGAAATTATTTTCTAGGATTGCAACGAAAGCATTGAAATTAGGCCATTCAGCTCAGATAATTCAACATTATCAATGCATAAGTTTAGTCGTGGATAATATCGGAGCAATCTGCACAGGATGATACATATACCGATAATAGAGACTAATCAATTGCAGTCCTGTACACACCAATGGGAAGATTCAAACAAACAACAAAAAATGTATTTACTTTCTTGTAGATAATAAAGATTATTATTCATCATGTTCTGTTGTTGAATATTTCATTAGCATCTTCAAGAATATGCAACATCTTCACCGAATCGTCCTTTATCTGCCATCACTTCAACTATTCACAAAACTCAATGGGATATAACACGTAAAGAATTTTTAAATTGGATACAATTAAAATTAAATGAATTAATTCCATCCTTTAATCAATTACCATTGCATGAAGTTTTCTATGGTCCATCCATTATTGAAAATAACATTCATTCACTATCATTCACTGATGATGATTCATCAATTCATTCACAATTAGCGTTATCTATTCGTCGTCGATTAAATCCACCATTTCAACGTTGTTTACATCTAGCACTTGTAGATCCCGGTGTATATTTACAGGTTTGAGTTGTTGTTTGTTATTTATTCATTTATTCTTTCTTGTGTCATAAGTAATTGTTATGAGTTTTGCCCTGTTAATTATCAAGTAACTAAATCATCAATCACAACTAACCGACTTATACGACTTTGACCCTATGTCTAACCAGTACGAGCAGTCTCGAGTAAACTCTGACTTCTTACTGGTTTTCCAAGATAGTAGATTCACACCTAATACAGCTGGTTCAGACCAGAACGAATACAAATATCAGCTTCCACTGCACAAATCATTTATTTCAGATATATAATCAGTTCATTATATACAAACAAAACAGACCACATTATTTGCATAAAATAGAAATTAACAACCATTATATGATCAAGCGAAAAGGTGACTGTCGTTGTGAAAGACTGTAACTAATAATTTTTGAAAAGCTTGAGAATAGTAAATTGAATTGCAGTAGTCAATAGGTCAAATGGAAGTTTCTAATAAAAGGAATATGAATATAGTTACTTAATAGTTATTTAATAGGAATATATGTAATAATAATAATAATAATAATAATAATAATAATAATCCATAAATATCTCCTAGTAGCTACGGTTGATGGTGAGACTATAATTTATGGAGGACGTTTGAGCGACGCTAAAGTTACTTTAAGAATGTCCACTTAATAACCAAGACTAATTGAGGGATATAAACCTGTGTAAGGAATTACAGTTGATGGTTAAGGTTAGAAATTAGATTTAGGATTTTCATCACGAGCTAACATCAGCTATAATGTCAAAATTCTACGTAGCCAAATGGATGAGTAGATTTCGTGCCCCCGAATGCTCTAGTACAGTCGAGAGTGCGTAGAGTCCGCTTTCTGTCTCTCTCTCTCTCGATATGCTCTCATATGGCCATGCATATATAGCCTCTGTCACGGAAGTCCTACTCACTGCCTTCTCGCACCAAGGATGTTGTTTACGAAATTGAGAGGACCATTTAAGCAATTAGCTTAATTCATATAAGGATTCAAATCAAACTGTTGAATCATGTGCTGTATTCAAAATTAATACAAAGGATTTGTCTACAAAGCAATATAGTTACACATGATAAACATCTCTATTCATTCACACAAAAAACGAAGGCAAATTATCCGTTATATTCTTAAAAATACATATCAATTCATAAACTACTGAATGTTAGTAAGTAATATAATAAAATACACAAAATTACATACTTGAGTATTATAAAAAGTGCAAATATAACCAACATCAATAATCTTAGAAATATTCACATTTTTATTTAACCGGTATGTAATTCAGCTGGAGAATAAATCCAGTTCTATTTGATAATTGTTAACTAGATGGGCACTACTTTCGCTCATGCTATATCACACATTGAACTCATACTGGTTAACCGACTAAGCAAATCATTTACATGTATTAAGTAGAAGTTAATATCTTTCTCTCCATTTTATATTCAGTAGAGTGGTAGCTCACCGGTCATCAGATTTGATGCCTACTTCGGTACTTGAAACCCAGTACCTTCCTCTTTAGACGCCATCGTATTATCGGCTTGGCTACTGAGTTTAGATGATCACTAGATTGTACAACTAGGTGAATTTTAGTTCATTTGTATTGATATTGGGTTGGAGTTCTTGAGTCGACATTAACTCTGGAATGTAAGTACATCCAACTGATGAGTTATAAATAGAATGAAACACATGTTCATCTGGTTATGCAATCCAGTGGTCATCTAGACGCAGTAGCCTAGTAGATAATACTATGGAGTCTAAAGAGGAAGGTACTGGTGCCCGAATCCCGGAGTAGGCAATAGCTCTGGGATCCAAGTACTGAAAATTTCACCAAAAAGCTGAAAGATATGAACTATTTGTTCATGGGAAATCAGTTTATTTATGATATATATATATATATATATATATATATATATATATATATATATATAACAGTTTATATAATAATTACTGATCTTTTATTTCATCATTATAATATCTCCTGTTCTGGTTAACTGAGGGATATTTGCGATAACCTGCAAACAGTAGAGATATAAAGAACACATAACATGAAAATGGAAAGTCGAATTCACATGGGATATCTTTATAGGTTACATCACGAATCGGCTTTAATTAGACAAACTTCGAGAATCAGGAAGTACTAGACACCCGTTTCATTCTAATATATAAGACTTCTCGGAAGTGTACATTCACGACCCAACCAAATTATTTCGTTATGTAAAAGATGAAAATTGTTCTGTGTATCAGTGAGTGTGTTTTATGTTTATCCAACCCTTTGATTTGATCGAATATAAATTCAACGGGAATTATCAGTTTCTTCAAGACTGTAGATTATGCCTTACTTTGATGGGTTCCAACTAGAATGAAAAACAAATTCAAAGCCTTCTATTGATTACCTTTAATGACTTAAAATCATTATTTAGTATTTAAAATAACTTTTCAAATACATTTCCGATAAATGAACATAATAATATCAGACTGGGATTCAATTCTTGAATTTATTTCCATTAAAAGGAAACCATTAATTACCCCTAATCAGTGAATGTTATTGCATAATAACCATGTTAAGTTGTTGAGATATCAAACATAATAACACACAACATTCACTACGGAATGTCTACATTAATAATCCAGTCTGTAATAATTCACTAAAAAGAAACAATATAGTATTCTCAACACACAGTATTTAACAAGTTTCCTTTTCTTATTTCTTGATCAATCCTTGCTATACATATTGAGTGGTTGTCAGTTAGAAGTTAGCAGTCCAGTTAATCGATATCTAAATAGTGTACATTCTTTTCGCTACATATTGCCAACAACCATGATGTCAATAATTGAGTCTTTTGTAACTTGATTCCTCCTTGTCTCTTTTATTATCTTCCCAAATTTATTTCACTAGATTATACTCTTTAAATAACATCTCCAAACCCTAATCTTTCCGACTACTACTTATACTCTTACTGCCTCTACCGCTATGGGGTTTGAATCGACAACTGCGTCTCTGTGCTAATGTGGTATGGCAACTCGAAGTGATGTACGTACGTACGAAGTTCTACATTGTTACTGACTGACTGACTTTGTAACTTGTACAACGAAAGGTTGTATACACACCTGAATAAGTGATACGATTAATAGCCATAATCATGTATTTAAAACAAACAAGGATATAGATTACTTGTTGATGAAATATCCAGATGATAGGAACAGGTAACCTAGATAGATATTCAATCAGGTCACATTTTCCTAATGAATATAATAAATCATTTTATTCAAATGATTTCGGACAAATATGTTATTTCTCATTGTGACTATGAAGAAGTATTTATCACAGATTATAAATGAGTAATTAATATACATAGAATAACTAATTGTCATATTTATTGTTCATTAGATCAAAGAATAATGTTCTTTCGTTTCATAATATTCAAATCAGTTCATTATAACTGATATTGAGAGCCTGGGATAGATGTGTATTAGTCTGAAATTCCCTTGATAACATTTAGATGACAAGATGTAATTAACAAAATCTATAGTAAATTAATCGAAATAGCATCATCAAGATGAGAGAGAGAGAGAAAACAACAACAACTGAGTATTGAGAATAGAATTTGAATAGGCAAAATATAGTTATGTCTGAAGAAACATTGAAATTTATAATGTAAAAGAAGCTAAAGACTGATTGTATCTACTTCATTTTAATCAATTCTGAGATATTATTATTATTTAAACACATAAACGTAGGTACATTATTTATTTAAACACACATAAACATTGGTACAAGCAGGCGCCAAATACATATGCGCCACATAAATCATTCAATTTGTGTGAGGGCTCGGATACTGCCCGGGTGCCCAGACTGAAGCAGGTGGTTTTCTTAGGGGGCCACACCCCGAGCCTTTGACCTAAAGGTCTGACCCACAAGGCAGTGGAGCATCGTAAGGAGATGCAGTTGAATGGTAGCAGGTGACCAACAATTGGTTCATACGCCATTTGTTCCCGCAGGGTACTGGAGCCCATGTGCACCATTGGTTTTGAATGAGGGTTTTCCAACTCCTGTAGGTGGACCCTCTGTGTCTACCTATCTACATTCACTTTTCATTCTCTCAATTTCATAAATGACATTGGTGCCGCGAGAAGTCAGTGAGTAGAACTTCCCTGACAATGGTTGTATGCACGTGGCCATGTGATAGCATTTCGAGTGAGAGAGCTGACTCTCCTCACTCTCGACCATACCAGGGCATTTGGGACATCTCACCCAATAAATCGTGGTTATCAGTTGAATCTCATTTAGGAAGGTAGGTAGGTAGCCTGGATTATACCCTACTCTTCAACAAATTATGATTAACTGTAAGCAATTTAAGCACTATTTTTATTTGTTCAAACCATTGTTTGCTAACAAATGTCTTTCTTTCAGATTGCTGATTTGAAACTACCTAATTCAAGTAGTATTTCGTCGAAATTATTTGATTTATGCATTTTGTATAAATTACTAATTGAAACAAATAAAATGGTGAATTTGTACGATTGGCTTATGGTAAGCAATAGTCAATGTATACATGTGTGTATTTTTAATGAGAATTTATCTATTCATAAATGATCGATTCCGTGATATTCACAGACCAATCAACATCGGAGTCTACAGGGACAAGCTGTGAGCTACATTGGGAGAAATTCGCGCACTTCACTTCGACCTGAAGTTTGTGCTGATGATTTCGTTCAGAAAAACGATGAAAGCTCCATGAACAAACCATCCAGCTCAGAAAACAAAGCTCCATCAAACTATCCACACACTATCCGATCTGTCCAATAAAATACATCAGTCGCTTATATTTCCTTGAAAGAATATTCCTCTTTCTTTGTTGGTATAATACGCTTGTTTCTTTTCGATTATCCTCTCTTAGAAAATATGATATTGCCCATATATACACGTGTTGTTTTTATCAACAGAAGGGATCATCATTTTATTCTTCATAACCATCACTCAGACGCTTCATGTGTGATAATATATCAGGCCACTAAGTTGCATCACCCTTAGGTCCTTGGCTATAGAATCGTGTTAGACTGACAAATTCAAGTCTTGTAAACCTCTTCACTTCTTCTACCCCATCTCAGCATTGGCAAATAATCTACGTTGTGGAAGCCAGTTAGATGACGTTCTTATGAATTTCTCTAAGCTAATGCTCCGAGATGATAATATCAACATTAATTGAATCATGGTTACCTCAGCATTACTTGCTTGGTAATTACCACTGTTTGTAAATAGTTCTCCAGAGGTGACGATTACTTTACTTACGTACGCCTGTTACTCCTCGTGAAGGAGCATAGGCCGCTCACCAGCATTCTCCATCCAACCCTGTCCTGGGCAATCCTTTCTAGCTCCGTCCAGTTGTAATTCATCCTTTTCATATCTGCTTCTATTATCCGACGCAATGTGTTCTTTGGCCTTCCTCTTTTTCGCTTCCCTTCAGGATTCCAAGTTAGGGCTTGCCTCGTGATGCAGTTTGACGATTTGCGTAATGTATGTCCTATCCATTTCCATCGTCTTTTCCTAATTTCTTCTTCAGCTGGAAGTTGGTTTGTTCTCTCCCACAGAAGGCTATTGCTGATGGTATCCGGCCATGGATGTTGAGTATCTTGCGTAGACAGCTATTTATAAATACTTGTACTTTCTTGATGGTGGTTGTTGTAGTTCTCCAAGTTTCAGCTCCATACAGTAGAACTGCCTTGACGTTCGTATTGAAGATTCTCACTTTGATATTGGTTGAAAGTTGTTTTGAGTTCCATATGTTCTTCAATTGTAGGAATGCGACCCTTGCTTTGCCGATCCTCGCCTTTACGTCTGCATCTGAACCTCCTTGTTCATCGATGATGCTTCCAGGTATGTGAAGGACTCTACATCTTCCAGAGTTTCGCCATCAAGAGTGATTGGATTGCTGTTCTCCGCTTTGAATTTGAGGACCTTGGTTTTCCCTTTGTGTATGCTGAGGCCTACTGATGCAGAGACTGCTGCTACACTGGCTGTCTTCATCTGCATCTGTTCGTGTGTACGTGATAGGAGGGCTAGGTCGTCTGCGAAGTCCAAATCGTCTAATTGATTCTGAGCTGTCCATTGTATTCCGTGTTTTCCTTCAGATGTCGAGGTCTTCATAATCCAGTCGACCACCAGAAGAAAGAGGAAGGGAGAGAGTAAACAGCCTTGTCTGACTCCAGTCCTTACTTGGAATGCATCTGTCAGCTGTCCTCCATGCACTACTTTGCACTGTAGTCCGTCGTATGAGTTCCGGATAATGTTGACAATCTTCTCAGGAACTCCGTAGTGTCGAAGAAGTTTCCATAATGTCCTCCTATCTACACTGTCGAATGCCTTTTCATAATCAATGAAGTTGATGTATAGTGATGAGTTCCACTCAACTGATTGTTCGACGATGATCCGTAGTGTTGCAATTTGGTCTGTGCACGACCGATCCTTACGGAATCCAGCTTGTTGATCTCGAAGTTGGGCGTCTACTGCATCCTTCATCCGGTTCAGCAACACTCTGTTGAAGACTTTCCCTGGTATTGACAGTAGTGTAATGCCTCTGTAGTTTTCACATTTGCTCAGATCTCCTTTCTTTGGAATCTTGACGAGGTGTCCTTCTTTCCAGTCCATCGGCACTTGTTCCTCCTCCCAAATCTTTTTGAATAGAAGGTAAGCATGCTTGTGGTTGCTTCGATGTCTGATTTCAGTGCTTCAGCTGGTATGTTGTCGGGTCCTGCTGCTTTCCCGTTCTTGATTTGTCTGACGGCCATTCTAATTTCTTCCGTCGTTGGTGGGTTGACATCTATAGGAAGATCTATGTGTGCTGCTTCGATGTCCGGTGGATTCATTGGAGCCGGCCTATTCAGGAGTTCCTCGAAGTATTCCACCCATCTGTTACGCTGTTGTTGAATTTCGGTGATTGGCTTGCCTTCTTTGTCTTTGACCGGCCTCTCTGGTTTACTGTATTTCCCTGCTAGTTTCTTCGTTGTATCGTGAAGCTGTTTCATATTTCCTTCTCTAGCAGCTTTTTCTGCCGTCGTTGCTAGTTCTTCCACGTATTTCTTCTTGTCGGCTCTAATGCTCCTCTTCACTTGTTTGTTTGCTTCTATGTATTCAGCTTGTGCTTGGACTTTCTCTGCTCGTGTTCGGCTGTTGTTAATTGCTGCCTTCTTGTTCTTCCTTTCTTTGATCTTGTCCAGTGTTTCTATAGAGATCCATTCCTTATGATGGTGTTTCTTTAGGCCCAGAACCTCTTGACACGTTGAAGTTAATGCTTCCTTGATGCCTTTCCAGTTGTCCTCCATAGTAGTTTCTTCTTCTTTCAGTAGATCTTGTAAGGCTTGGAACCTGTTGTTGAGAGCTATCTTGAATTCATTGAGTTTGTCAGTATCTCGAAGGAAGGCTGTATTGAACCTTTGTAGTGCTGTTTGTCCACTTGTCCAGTTCTTTTTAGCTTCAGTTTTAAATTGGCTACAACTAGGTGGTGATCTGAAGCTACGTCAGCACCTCTCCTGGTTCTTACATCTTCCATTGTCCTTCGGAATTTTTTGTTGATGCAAATATGATCTATTTGGTTCTCTGTAGTGTGGTCCGGTGAGATCCATGTAGCCTTGTGTATACGCTTGTGTGGAAATATTGTGCCTCCTATGACCAATTTGTTGAATGCACACAGATTTGCAAATCTTTCTCCATTTTCGTTTCTTTCTCCCAGTCCATGTCGTCCCATAATATCTTCATATCCGGTGTTGTCTATTCCGACTTTGGCATTTAGATCTCCCATCAGAATAGTTAGGTCCTTTCTTGGGTATTTCTCAATGATTGACTGCAGCCGCTCGTAGAATTGATCTTTAATGTCGTCGTTGCTATCATTGGTGGGTGCATAACATTGGATAATATTCATTAAGATCCCCTTCTTTGTTTTGAATGATGCTTTGATGATTCTGGATCCGTGAGATTCCCATCCTACAAGTGCATTTCGTGCTACTTTGGACAGCATAAGAGCGACTCCCTGAGTGTGTGGAGCATTTTCGTCTTCGTGACCGGAGTATAGCAGCATCTCTCCCGTAGCTAGCCTTTTCTGTCCAGCTTGGGTCCAGTGGGTTTCGCTGATTCCCAGTACTGCCAAGTTGTATCTCCTCATTTCCATTGCTATTTGACTGGTCTTCCCGGTTTCCCACATTGTTCGAACGTTCCATGTACCTATAAAAATTTTTGCTCTGGTTGTTAGAAGGGGCATCGGCCTCGTGGCTTCCGAAGGAACTCGGCTTTCACCATGAAGCGTCATAAATCTTCTAAGTGAAAGCCTTCTAATTCTCAGGGCACAGTGTAAATGGTTTGAATTATTTTCTTCGGTAAGAGTTTTTTTAGCGAGTTAGTTTTCTACGGGATGAGATCGCTAACCCCATGCCCAACCCTCCTCCTTTACCCGGGCTTGGGACCGACAGTAACTCTAGAAGAGCTACAGACGGAGTTAAAGGTGACGATTGTCAAACAACTAGAACTTCGATGTGTCTTGAGCTCAAAAGGGTTAGGTTACACAAAACTGTTGAACAGAACTGCTCTCGGGATTAATCGATCTCAACATTTCATGGATTACTTGAAAAGTTTTTTCTAGGTTTCATCGAATGTTCGATCCTAAATTGTTTGTTCGTGTAGTTAGTGGATTTACTTACTTACGTCTGTCACACCTCGAGGAGCATAGGGCGCTCATCAGCATTCTTCATACAACTCGGTTCTGGGCAGTCCTATCGCGTTGCTGTTCATCCTTTAAATGTCTGCTTTCGATTATGGACTCAGTGTGTTCTTTGGCCTTCCTCTTTTCGCTTTTCCTTCAGGATTCCAAGTTCTTGCTTGCCTCGTGATGCACTCCGATGATTTCCTAAGTGCGTATCCTATCCACTTCCACTGTCTTTTCCTAATTTCCCATTCAAATGGAAGCTGGTGTGTTCTCTCTCACATTAGGTTGTTGCTGACGATCTCAGGTCAACGGACATTGATTATCTTGCGTAGACAATTGTTTATAAATACTTGTACATGTTTGATGATGGTTGTAGTAGTTCTCCCAGTTTCAGCTCCGTACAGTAGAACTAACTGACTTGAGGTTCGTATTAAGAATCTTGCGTAGACAACTAGTCTAGTGAGATGTAGTTATTATGCTTTGAGGATCGTCCATTGAACTAAACTTAATGAAATCCATGAATATTCTCATATGATCGTTTACATACATTTTTATATCGATCTATTTTATTTATTCTTCATTAAGGCATTTGCAACTATACTGGGAGAGGCGGTCGACTCACAAAATCCTCCATCTCAAGAGACTCAGTAAGTTAACTGTCCTGTTTGTTAAAAGAATACATGTATAAATGTTAAAGAGGAAAAGTGTATTTGTAAAATCTCAGCGAAAGAATTTAAAGTAAATCCAACGTTTCATCTGGCAATCTGGTCCAAGCTTTTTAAAGGAAATATAAATGTTGTCTATAAACATAGTAGTCCTTGCATCAATATACCAGCACTTCACCTTTTCATTAATAACAGGACAATGTAAGCAGAGTTAGATAGCTTAGCGAACAATGTAATGAATTTTTTTCATGTTACAATCTTCACAACTGATTCCTAGCCCCTACTCTTATTTATTTATGTAAATTACTATATGACTACTAATCTGTATTTGAGTAGTGTAAATTATCTACCCAATAAATTCATGATGAAATAGCGTTTTTGATGACTTAATCAAAAATGTTTCTGAACTAATGGATTAATGTACATTTTAAGGTATAGTCTCATCACCCATTCGTCGAGCCTCTAAATTAGAGTTCTAATTCAAAAAGCTACTGGAGAAGATGCAGTCTCATGGTTTCCATCCGGTAACCAAAATAGATTCATTTATGGATCCTAAGGCTTTTGTACACCATCGATTTGGAATTAGAGTTTTCCAGGTTTCCTAGGAGGACTCTCTGTACCTAAGGAGTTGAATCAAGCCCGAACATTCATTCTTCACTCGCTTACTTTCTTGAAAGCATTCTGGCCCTGTTTATATAGTGTGTTGAACTTCCCTGGCAATGAGAAAGATCGGATCCTTGGCTATATGTTAGAGCGTTTGGGAAAGATGTAGTCCTATTAGCATGAATGTTTTTGACTGCCTAATTACTGAATTGTGAAAACTTCCGACATATTGAATATATATCATCTCATTGAGGTCATGAACTGATGAATGTTAGACGACCATTGAAAACTTGGAATCACTGTACGTCCGTTTCGTCATAGTATGTGACTCCTAAGAACTGCTCATCCACGACCACGTAGGTAGGAATTTGTTATTGACTTTCAATATTATTACTAACCACACTTTACTTTTCTGATTGTCACGATCATTATTGTTTGTATGAATCTCTACCTCTATCTTCTTTCTTTGTTTTACTCCCCCTTTCTATTAGATGTCGTTTCTTGCAAGGATTAGCAGAATTACAATATTTAGGCTGTATAAAATCAACTCGTCGAAAAGTGGATCATGTTATACGTTTGACATGGATCTCAGGTCTTGTGTAATCTCATAACATTCAATTCTTTTTACCCAATTTATTGAAATTTTTTTACTATCAATTAAAAACATGATTATTTATTGCATATCTAACTGGGGTTTTTTGTTTCTATCTTTCAAAAGGTCTCATTTGTTTTTGAAAATGTATTTAGGTATTTTTCTCATATTCATATCACACACACACACACTCACAAATATGTAATTGAGATTTTATTGAATGTATGTAAACATTTTATATTTATAGAATTTATACATAGTAAATTGGTCTTCTCTCTGTATGTTATTGTTTTAAGTTGATCGCTTACTTCGTATGGGAATGATGTGTTCTTGATGGAGTTTTGTTCTCTGAGCTGGATCATATCAATCATGCCAATCCGAGATAAAACCAAAACAAAGAGGTAAACAATGACAGGTTTAAGGTTAGCAAGAACCAATCAACATCGAGGTCTACAGGACAAGCTGTGAGACATATGTGGATAAATTCGAACACTTCACTCCTATCTGAACTTTGTGTTGATGATTTCGTCCAGATAAAATGATGAAAGCTTCATGACCAAACCATTCAGCTCAGAGAACAAAACTCCATCAAAATTATCCACCTGGGCTACAAATCTTCACCATCTCAATGATATGTTCTAACGCAACGGGTATCTTTCAATAATTGTATGTCGTTGGGACTGTGATAGAATTCCTTGGAAATCAAGGTTTTTGACTTAGAAGATCTACAAGTTTAGTTTACATCTTCAGTTGGTGGATACCACGGTATTCAGTGACCAAAGAATTTTCATACACCATTTGTCTCTTCAAGAGTTTAGTCTATCTACTCTGTTCGTTCGTAGTTTCCTATTTCATCTTACATAGGCACTGTATCTAACTTACTTACTCCTCGTGAAGGAGCATAGGCAGCCCATCAACATTCTCCATCCAAACCTGTCCTGGGCACTCCTTTCCAGTTGTTATTCATCCTTTTCGTATCTGCTTCTATTTCGCGACGTAATATATTCTTTGGCTTTACACTTTTCCACTTCCTTTCGGGATTCCAAGTTAGGGCTTGCATCGTGATGCAGTTTGGCGGTTTGCTTAGTGTGTGTCCTATCCATTTTCGTATCTTCTTGATTTCCTCTTCAGTTGGAAGCTGGTTTTCTATAAAAAAAAACGCGAACCAGATTAAAAAAAATTAAATCAAACCAGTGTCACCTTATCACTATTATGGAAACTCCTATTACCACGTAATAATAACCAGTAGGTTTTCTCTGGTAGAACGTATAATCATAAGACATCGTTTTCAGATGGGAACTTAACTTCATTTTCTCTCTTGGTTACCCCCCCCCCAAAGTTATGTGAAGCATATTATTTCGATTCCGTCATTGTATTAAGATCTTTATGTTGAAAGTAAATATCATTTATGTTAATTTAGTTTAATAGACAACTGAAACGCTGTTACAATTGTTGATTTCCTGTTCAAGGTGCATTTTGAGTTCAACTGGAATTGTTTCTTTTTCTCTCCCTGAATCGATATATTTTTTTTTACAAATTAAATATCTTAGTTAGTCAGTCATCATCAACACTGAATTGGCTAACTATTTGCATTAGACCAAATTACCATTAATACATTCACACAATAAGATAGATGGGAAAGGAATCGAAGTATTGATTTTATTAACTATATTGTAAATAGATCAAACATTCAAGAATATATTTTGTGAAAGATTAATGAATTATGTATAAAGGAATCCTGAAACTGAAGATCTTGTGAAAGATAAGAAGTGAATGAATCTGTGTGATTGCACTTGTCTTAAATCACTGGTCATGATTATTTCATAGATCTCAACCAGATAATCGTCTATAACTACCAATATATCAGAACAATAGTCAACATCTTTGTGAACTAATGTCATGTTTTTCGTTTGTTTTTCCTTAGGTTTCTTTCAGATTTTATGCCATCAGTAATTAATTGACAATTTAATTCGATATTCAAGCACAACTTTGTGTATTCAATAATTAAGTCACACTTTATACATATATGTGTGAAGAATAATAGTTTGACTATTACCAATACCATAACTGATCAAATTAGACTATATAGAACAGAGTTGTTGTTTGAATCTATAAATATTTGATTTAAAAGAACCCAACGATATGATCACTAACTCACTGAATTCAATCAATTGTTTTATACCTACGACCAGTAGTAGTAATAGTAGTACAGTAGTAAACTAGAAGTCAACTATCATAAGCACAGGTTCTGTTGAAGAAGCCTAACAATCAGTCTCTTATTAACGAATGAACAACTAATAATCTTAATTTTGTCCATATCTAATCATGTTAATTTTTTTTTGCCGTCATGTTATTTCATAAGATGAATAAAAATTATTCTTCTGACTAATCATTTCGTCAATCATTCGATCTTGCAAACTCTTACTCCTCAATCATATTGTATCATGGTATATTACCAAATTGGTCAGTGTTGTCTCTAGAAATCAAACAATCCCAAAACAGTTTTTATTAAAAATAATCCTGTTGGCAAGACTATAGTTTGTAGACGAACCAATCACATATAAGTTAACAGGTTTTGGATTTTATTTGAGCACATAGATATTTGTGCAAGGGGGCACCAGATATGTATGCGCCAAACAAATCTCATTTGATCTGTGTGAGGGCTATAATACTGCCCAGGTGCGCAAATCGAAACAGGTGGTGTTCTTAGGGGGCCACACCCGGAGCCTTTGACCTAAAGATCTGATCCACAAGGCAGTGGAGTAACGTTAGGAGATATTCACATGGTAGCCGGTGACCAATAATTGGTTCATACGCCATTTGTTCCTTCAGGATAGTGGAGCCAGCCCATGTGCACCATTGGTTTGGAATCAGGGTTTTACAACTCACCTAGGTGGACTCTCCATGTCCACCAACCCAGTTAAAGCACCGGACATTCGCTTTTCGTCTTCTCAATTTCGTAAACAACACCCCTGGTGAGAGAAGTCAGTTAGTAGGACTTCCCTGGCAGAAGCTATATACGCGTGACAATTTGAGAGCATCTGAAGTGAGAGAGAGAGAACGGACTCTCCCTACTCTCGACCGTACTAGGACATTTGGGGGCACGAAATCCACTCATCCATTTGGCTACGTAGAGTTTTGGAATTATAGCTGATGTTAGCTCGTGATGAAAATCCTAAATCTGATTTCTAACCTTAACCATCAACTGTAAATCATAATTGTAATTCCTCACACAGGTCTATATCCCTCAATTAGTCTTGGTTATTAAGTGGACATTCTTCAAGTCACTTTAGCGTCGCTCAAACGTCCTCCATAAATTATAGTCTCACCATCAACCGTAGCTACTAGGAGATATTTATGGATTATTATTATTATTATTATTATTATTATTATTATTATTATTATTATTATTATTATTATTACATATATTCCTATTAAATAACTATTAAGTAACTATATTCATATTCCTTTTATTAGAAACTTCCATTTGACCTATTGACTACTGCAATTCAATTTACTATTCTCAAGCTTTTCAAAAATTATTAGTTACAGTCTTTCACAACGACAGTCACCTTTTCGCTTGATCATATAATGGTTGTTAATTTCTATTTTATGCAAATAATGTGGTCTGTTTTGTTTGTATATAATGAACTGATTATATATCTGAAATAAATGATTTGTGCAGTGGAAGCTGATATTTGTATTCGTTCTGGTCTGAACCAGCTGTATTAGGTGTGAATCTACTATCTTGGAAAACCAGTAAGAAGTCAGAGTTTACTCGAGACTGCTCGTACTGGTTAGACATAGGGTCAAAGTCGTATAAGTCGGTTAGTTGTGATTGATGATTTAGTTACTTGATAATTAACAGGGCAAAACTCATAACAATTACTTATGACACAAGAAAGAATAAATGAATAAATAACAAACAACAACTCAAACCTGTAAAATATACACCGGGATCTACAAGTGCTAGATGTAAACAACGTTGAAATGGTGGATTTAATCGATGACGAATTATACAAACTATGTTTTACTCTGAAATACTATGATTCCTATAATGAAAGCTGATATTATTAGTCTTCTGAACTGAATTGATTAATTGATAACCCTAATATACATTGAAATTGTTAATTATAATCAACGACACAAATCTAGATCATCTCTGATTAACATGATTGATAAGTAATTTGAAGTAAAACTAAACTATTAGTCTTCTATTATTGTCATCTATTTCCAACTTATTCAACATCATATTTCTATAACATTTTGGTTTTTTTTATTAATCATATAACTTTGTTAATAATATTCACTTCATATCTCTTTCTTACTTGCTCTCTTACTCTATTTGCTTCATCAACCAGAAATCTAAATGAGTGAATGAATGAATGAATAAGTAGAGAGAGAAAAAGAAATCAATGTTCATTGAACAATGAACAGACTCATAACAATCGTATACCCATTATATATTAACTTAGTTTCTCCCGTTTTTTTCTTTTGTCTGTACGTGTGGGATTTCGTTTTCTTGCTTGAATTGTTCACATATATATATAGAATAACTTCAGTGATTTGGTAGTTTACTTATATACATGTGTGTATGGTTGTTTGTATTGAGAATACACTCGAAACAATACTACTACTACTACTAGTAGTAGTAGTAGTGGTGGTGGTGGTATTCGTGAACAAGTTCATCAATAATCCTAACTGATTGATCTGTCTATTCGTTTTCTTGTCCACAATTTTCCAATCTCTCTCTCTCTCCTCCATGTATATATATATATATAACTTATTTGATGCGTATATATTGGCGTATTGTTAATGTAATATGTTAACGATGTTGTGTGTAATTTCGTTGATTGTAAAATGTTAATCAACTATTCCAATCTTTATTTTTTTTCTTTCTTCCTTTCCTTCTTTTTGGCTTGTTGTCGTTGTTGTTAGTTTGATTCTGAATTGTGAATAATTCGTGAAAGAGAATTTTTTTCTTTTCTCGTTCTCTCTCTTTCTCTCTTTTTATAGGTTTTTTCCCTTTATGATTGGCAGGTCTGTCATTTGTCTTCCTTGTATCAGCAACAACAACAACAACTTGATTAACATTTAATTCTCTTGGGATGATAAATTGAATGTGGGTGGGAGATGGTGGTGGTAGTGATGGTGGATTCATTCCATCACAACAATATTTGTGTATGAATAAATTACAAAAAAAAGAGATTTAGATTATTGATAAATAATGATGCTTGTTTATTTGTCGAAATTGAACAGAA